GAAATTTGAATTTTGCAACACGTCTGCTTCAATTGCTCTACGACGGACCAAGGATATACTTTAAATATATTATTCTATATAGATGCACAAAATGAATCTCTGAAATAAAAAAAATGGCCCTATATAGAATGCATGGTTTGGAGTTAATTGACACCTAACAAATTCAGTTTTAAGATTAATAGGCAATATTTTTCAGCAGCGCATTGTACGGGCACGCCCAAATTTTGTGCATTAAAACATTAACTTTCTCATCTGAACGATCATTCTCTACCAATTCTACAAACTTCTTACAGTTATTATAATTCATTGTTGGTCACTTACTGCAGGACTTAATCAAAGACGAGTACAATTACCCAGATATCGGATCAGATACAGATAAAATATACTTGCAAGTTTCTCAATAGCCTGAATTGCAGACGCTTGTAAATTCCTGATAGGTATTGGTAAGCGTCTTTATCGGCGGCCGAATTCTTGTTGTTGCAGGTGAAATTTCCCAACAAGATGAGAAAAGGATTTAAATTTTAGCCAAATTTTAATCCATCGCTCACTTTAGCTAATGGGAAACGCATTCACAGCATTTATTGTAATGTGTTTAAGTATTTGATGAGTTATCTTCTGCTCAGAAACAATAAACACAGATAGACAAACAAGCTCCTAGCGTGGGTAACAAATCAACAATATTTTTTAATGAAATAACTGTTAAGCACACTTGCCAATGAAATTCGTTGTCCATATTTTACTACAAAAAGAATTTTACCTCCAATTAGTAGCTTACCAGTCCCTGTAAGGAATTTACAATCGTCAACAATAAAGGCTAGGCTCTCAAGTGAACGAAAGAATACAATTAGATCAGTATGTCTTAATCAATACAATCGAATTATTTGCGTCACTAGTGGGGATGTTTTAACTCTTTAGCGGGCAAATTTTTCGTTCTCGTGTTTAAAATTGTTTTGTTTTTGCTGCCACATGGCAACACTGCCTATAAAAAGTAAATAAAGTCGAGTATCAAACTGTATAATTAGTAATTCAAGACAACTGTTTTAACACTAAACAAAGGAGAAGTCGACATTGGGCTACTTCAAAAGGTATTTATCAATGGCTCTAGATAAGTTTCAAGTCTCCTTTAACCAAGAGCCACTGGTGGCAGAACATTTATAATTGGGTGGGCTATTTTCACATATTCATATGTTATAATCCGTTAACACAATTGATGTCAATTAAAACTAACAAAGTAAAACATGCATATATGAATAACAACACCCTCCCAAAAAAATTATAAATGTTCCGCCGACCTTGAAGAGAACTTCTGATTTTTTCTGCAGATCATCAGATTTTATTTAAATGTCAACAATCAATTGTGACAACTTCAACCGTTGCGCACAAAATTTGCAACATTTATAATTCACAATTTGAATGCATGACAGTTGATATCGATGGCGTGGTGTATATTCCTTCCGGTTATAGAAGAGAAACACTTGAAAATATCTATTAAAAGTTTTTTCAAAACATGGTAACTATATTGTCCAACAGTCTACTTTACACTTCCTTAACACCAAATACACACAAAATTTAACTATGGTCGCAACACAATATGAAAAATTGTTGTTGCATTTGTTGAAGGTGACCAACGTAATGTCACTGTATGTGGATGTCTAAAATCCTACTCTGCACACCTTTCACAACTAATAATTTCTTTCATAGTGTTGTAGAAAATAATGCAATAGCAAGTATTATCAATGTTGTCGCATGCAATAGTGTGCCCAATAAGCAGATATTTACATTTTTCCACGATAATGTCAGCGATATTTATCAAAAAAAAAATTGCAGTACCATTAGATAGATTAGCATGAGATGAGTGGAGAAGTATATTATACAGTTTACTTTTAGTCACTCGTTTATGAAACATCAATAATTATTTGCTACCAAAATGCTGATATAGCAATTTAAGGTGTTTACTTAAACCATTGATCTGAAAAACTACTACCTGGATAGAGCTTCAACATATGAAAACTGAAACGAGTTTAGATTTTACTCACCCGATTCTTGGGACTAATCAAATACAATATGGCGTAGAGTTGACTGAGCTATTGCGACGATGCTTTGTCCAAGATTACTTGTACATAAATAGGAGCAGTTTCGAGAGTAACAATTGGTGTAGAATGAACAAAGCATCGTGACAATCGCTCAGCAAACTCTACACCATATTGTAATTGAGTGGTCCCAAGAATCGAGTTTGTAAAATCAAAACTGGCTTCAACTTTCATAATGGTTTCATACGTAGAAGCTCTATCAAGGTACTATTTTTTCAGATCAATGACTTATAGCCCAAGCAGATCTGCCAGCCTGCACACCTTTATCCCTGTCACCTAAATCTAAAAAGAAATGTCCAGGACAGCAGACTTTCCATCACTTTTACCTTTCTTTAATAAGATATAGTTGGTGAAATAATTTAGAACGAATCAGGTCGGACTGACTATATGGCAAAAATATTGAGCTTTTATAGGTTATGCGTTCAAATCTTTCATACAATTTGTATGAAGAAGAAATCTATTTGGGTTTTCTTGGTTTTCTGTTTATACAAAACTCTTTTTTATCAAGTTCTTCTGTTCGTCAATGTAATGTTGTATACAGTTCTCAATTAAACAATCCCTCAAACTTGATTCGTTCAAAATACACATTTACTAAATACATGTTACTGCAAAAGTTTTAAAAGGGTGAATTTGATTGCGAATCAGGTGCTCAGGTGATATGTGTTAGGATTTAGGTGACAGCTGGGAAAAACCGGGTGAGTTAGCATGTCTGTCTGTGGTATAAGACAAAAGTTATTAGCATCATGATAAAAATGAATGACCGAAATAAAACGGTGTAATGTATTTTTTTACCAAACTGAAATTAGTCTATGTAATGGCACTTACGATTTTCGGAATTTGCAAATGTATGAATTTGACGATAATTTGATGACGTCATCAGGAGTAAAACGTAAATATCTTGCTTATTGTGCACACTTAATGCTTTTGGCCACATTGATTATTTGCTTTTATATGATTTACAATGGCACCATGAAATGAATCAATAGTTGTTGGATGTGTACAGCGAAATTGTAATTTTGAGCATATTGTTCAACCGTCTAAGTACTTTTTGCTTCGTGTGTCCCTAGAATCACTTATTTTTCAAGATGAAGGGTAATTAATCTTGTGAAGCATGGGGAGTTAACAACACAATATGAATGTTTTTGCTGTAGTATTTTTGTTTGTAATCGATCGTTGCTAACAACTTGACAAAGGACAAGCGACAAGCACTCAAACGACTCAACGACAAGTGACTGGGGTCATGGACAATACATATTACCTCGACAAAATGGACACACTTGTTAATGACAGACAAACGTTCAAAAATACAAACGAAACCCAACAACATCACTACTGCGCAAACTTAACAGCAAGATCTTCTCTTTGAAAAAGTCTAACATTACATCTGAACGTACTTACTATCGACTTAGTTGTTTTGTACCACGACTACCTAAACTTTACAGACCACAAATACCCTTGCGACCAAAAGTATCATTCTGTGGGTCACCTACTTACAAAGTTTCACAGTACTACACCGACATACTGCAACCACTTACAAGCAAATCAAAACACAAGCTACAATCTACTGTGCATCTACTTGTGTTTTGCAAAATTTCACGGTGTAATTACAGAAAAACTGCATTGCAGTTAATCAATAACAGTAAAGATATATCTCAGGGTATATTATTAATTAAATTAAGCGCAGGCCACACTATCGTTGAAATGCAACGAATTTCGTAATGATGTGCTCGTTAACAAAAAATTATGACGACACGGCCGAATTTGTCGACGATGAGCATGCACACCGAAATCATCATCGATTGACGAGTGATCTCGTCGATCCGATTGGACATAAAGCATTACATGACTAATGTGTGCTCACTGTTGTACAGGCAACATGGCAGATTGGCAAGAAATGCTTATTTTTATACTTATCCAGTCGTCTTCAATTTATTGGATGCGTCCAAAGCCTTCTTTCGGATAGCCATTGTCGTTTGGACGGTAAAAGCAGTAATATTTTCTTCTTTAATATTAATAGCAAATTTTTCCTACGTTGATTTTTTGTCCATGAATGGTTTTACAAAATTGCACAGCGTGAAACCAAAGGGTCGTCACGAATTCTCGTTAAAAAGCAACTCGTCACAAAATTCGTTGCATTTCAACGATAGTGTGGTCCGCGCTTTAAAAGGACTTCAAAAACGTTATCATATTTTCATAAGCTGCTACGAACATGGACGCGCGTGTATATTAAAACAAACGGAACAATCAGCTATTGCAGACCAAATTAACTAATGCTGATTCATTAAATGTCACTTAGGGGCTGTTCACGTGAGCAAGGGTAGCTGGGATTCAACAATGCGTTAAATCAATTAGGCAATTGGAAAATCACAAAACCTTTAAAATGGAAACAAATAATTTAGCCTGAATGTAAAATTTTAAGTAAAATGATTTATGACGCTTAAGAAACGGTTTAAGTTTTGAGCTTGAAGTTTTGACTCCTTTCATTTACTCAAGATCATTTCAAGCCTCGCTGAATCACTGCTACCCGGCTCATATAAACAGCCCTAAATCTGCAAAGCAATTGATTCTGTATATTCAAATGATTTCTGCGTGCATTTAGCAAACTTGTGCCTTGTTCAAACATCGAAATTTACGTCAACCGAAAGCATTTAAAACAAAAGATAAAGAGGAAGTTCATTTCATTTTCTTTTGTTAGTAATGCGTTCGGTGAATGTAAAGTTCGAAGCTTGAAACAGGACTCAGTGACGTAATTGGGCTTTGAGACGGAAGTGAGTTTTTGTCTCAAATCACAAGCCATGTCAATACTTGATTGAATGATTGGCTCAGTCAAATAAATTTGCACATGTATTTGAGTCAAACTCCATTCGTCAAGGTTTACAGTTTCAGTCAACATTAACTGATGAAGAAATATGAGTTCAAACACATCGGGAAAAGATTCTTCCAAAGAAGACATGACAGAGGCAACAGCTACGGTTTCTGCAAGCAGTTTACGGTTTGAAACAGAGAATTACATTAAATTCCGTTTCTCGTCATGCAGTGTACCAATAGGTGAAGAACAATCAGCAGCATCCACAAGCCACACACCTTACCGTTATATTCAGTTTCTTAAAGAAATAATTGAGAATGCACCACACAAAAAGGTAACGTTATCCATAATCTATAAAGATATCATCGAAATGTTTCCTGTTTATGCAACTGCTCCACCCTGTTGGTATGCTCACGTTAAAGAAGTCTTAAGACACTTTGACTGTTTTGTTGAAATACATCGGATATCGAGTGATAAAGATAGCGAACGTTACTGGACAATAGATCCGGACTACCGTGAAAGTATTAGTTGCATCCATAGTGTTTCACAAGAAGTGGAGAATGCGCAACGGGTGCCATCTTATGAAAGACCAACTTGCAATTACATTAAACTAATCCAGATGGCAATCATGAGTTCATCACGTAGTAAAATGACATGGCATCAAATTTGTGACTATGTGCAGGATAACTTCCCTTACTTCATCGATTGTGGATTTGATTGGCGTAAAGCGATTAACATAGCTTTATCTAGGAACGACAAGTTTGTTAAAATAGTTCGGAAAGATAAAGTCAATTGGCATTTCTGGAAAATGAACCCGAGTTTATGTTATATCACTGGCGAAACGTATGACAGTTTTAATTTACGTAGACCAAGCAGATTCATTAGAGGGAATGAAATAAGAGCGCCAGCCTCCATTGCACCGTCCGAGACAAACTTCCAGACATTAAATGAAAGACCAATTGAAGTTAATCCGGTTCTTAACAAAAACATAGCTACTTCATCAGCCTCCAAAAAATCAAATTCCCGCAAAAGAGCAAATCTCATTAATGATAGTCTTCCGACTTTATCGAATTCTTTGTTAGCCTCTATACCCTCCATACCCTTTATACCAAAACTAATTCCTTCTACGTATGAAAGCCAGGACAGTACAAACAATACTGTACAGTGTTCATCCGCCTCTGTAGCTACACAACAATATAAACCTTTTAAAGCCCCTATATGTCAGCCTATTACATGCATTCCTGAACAGTATAAAAAGCCATCAGCAAATTATAGAGAATCATTAGATGACGAAGAAGACCCATTTTACACTAGATAAAAATTCAGGGTGGAAAATCTTCATGAAATTCTGTGACTTTAAACAGAAATAGAAAACACATGAAGACATTCGCACGACGATTTGTGATAAATCCTTAAATCTTATGTTTGTACGTTAATTTTCCATAGGCTGATCTTCGCTATTGCTTATTTGAAATAAATTTGTTTTTATAAAGTGTTTTTTTTTCATTCTTAAAAAGAACATTCCTAAAAACTAACCGTTATAGGTTGATCCTTTAGTATGTTTATGCTAGTTGAATTCTGTTAGTATTTACAAAATTCATATAAGTTACGATTGAACTTTTTGTGACATAGACATTTTAGAGGACCTATAAACAAATGAAAACATCCAAGTTACACGGAGCTTCTATAAAACTATGTGAAATAGATAAAAACAGCAAAAAAATACTTTTAACGTGCTTGAACCGATGGTGAAGCTATCCCGTTCGTTTTAATCCTGCTTTATGCAAATTTATTTGTTTACTCTACTAAAACAATGAATTCATAAGGAAGTGAATGATGGAATAATGTAAAATATACATTGCAAACTAGCTACATTTATCCTTACTATTTATACATCACTTTTCATAAGAAGCATCTTAAATTGTAATAAATATTTTAAACTACTTGTTTTAAAAGCATGGATTTCATTAAAATTCTTCTTGACAATTATGACAGATTTTTAGGGAAAAAAAATGCACAAAGCAATTGTCAATTCAAATGATAATCTCGAAGATTATAATACAATGGCAAAGCAATGATAATGGCTGCTTTCGTTTTAAATGTTTTTCCCTTTTATAAAGTAAGAAGATTGCAAAATTGCTCAAAAAGTTTTATGTGTTTATATGTATTGAATCAATTCCATTTGCCTAAATCCTTTAATGCTTCGCTGAATCCAGGCTACACGGGCTCATGTAATCAGTCCCTTACCTTCAGTTTAGCTTATTACTTGTGTAGCTCTGTCTTAACAATTTGCCATCCATAAGCTAATGAAGTCGATGTATGGTTTAATATTTCATATTATTTCCTTGTATATTTGCACCCCTCTACAAACTTATTTATGAAACTTTCCAACAACAACTTAACACTTAATTTGCTAGACAACCAGTAAAAACCAACAGTGATAAAATTTTGGGCTACTGTTTCATCAAAAAAAATTTTCTTTCTAATGTACAAATGACAACGACCGCCATTATCATCTAATTTAACGATGTTGTTCTGAAAAAATTGATTTCATTGTAAAAAACAATATCTTTTGTTTTCTTTATTGAATAAGTAATGACTTTTGCCCATTTAGCTACAGCATAAATTATTTTACTGCAACTGACAATCATATACACGGACGTTATTGCTTTAATGCAAATGAGTACAACGGTCATGCATCAATTGTAAATGGCTTCAATCTTTTGTTTTATTGTATCTACTACCATCAACACCTTCCCGTAATAGTTCGATCATTATTTGAATGTTTTATAAGAAAAATGTGAGCATTAAACTTACTAGTAGCAGTAACAGAATAAAAACAAGAAATTGCAGTTCCCTTAATGCCACACTTTTCTTTTAATTTAAGACATACTGTCTGAACCTTGGACGTGCGTTGACATATCAACAATGCATCGGAAAAAGTTTAAAACGATGGAGGTATATCGTAAATAACATGCAACAAGGGTTAAATATATGTTAATGATGTACTTGTTATTTTCTAGAAAGTCTTTCTACTTGGCAAAGGAAGTGGTGGAACCCGTGTTTATTTTTGATTGGGAAAAGATGGTTATGGAAAGCAGTAAAACTACTTAATCGAGATAGTTACACAGAGGAAGCTAAGCAATCAAAACATAATTTGAATGAATTTAATGCAAAGCATTCAAAACATAATGTGAATAATTTGTACTCTGAAGAACAACCAAATGCTGAATATTTATAAATGGTAATAGATTTATGTGAAAAATCGTTGGAGTGTTTTGTGAAACCTTCTACTTTAGATGCACTTCAAATAGCGCTTTCCAAAGTCATGAAGCACATCTTAAAAGGCTAAACAGATCTTCACAGTGGCTCAAGTCCTATTCTTTATCGGGATTTAAGACTCTAAAACGTTCTTCGAGATGTACAAGGAAATTTTTTAATCGCTAACTTTGGTATGAGTCGAAAATTCTTAAATGAAACTTCGACATATGAGAGCCAACAGAGAGGAGCTAAATATTAGATAGCTCCAGAATCATATGATGAAGTGAATGCATCAATTAACTCAGCCCGCCATAAAAACAGTCTGATCTTATGGTAGGAGTTCGTTGTGGAGATTTAAATATTGTTGAATTCTGTATTTAACAAATAACTCTTTTTTAACGTTTCGTTATTAACCACTCACGTTGTGACTGTTATGATATCTTTTTTATTAAAAATAGAACGCGGGAATGGTGGCTTATTACGTTGCAAGAAAGGGGAAACATCGTTTTGGACCTCAACGGTTTTTATAGGACAACCTTTTGGAAGGAAACCCTCTTGTGTTGGACGAAATCAAGGATGCCACGTTCGAAGATCTTCTTTCGTGGATGTTAAAGCGACAACCTAAAGACACACCATCAGCCAACGAAGCGTTAAAACACCCTTATTTGTCTTTCAGATGATAAAATTTGGAAATGTTGCGTAAAGTTGGAAACCAACAGCCATTTAATACAAATTATGCCCTATTGAGTGTACTTTAACAATTGAATAGTGAACCCCCTGATTGGAAATGTCAAATAGATAGTGACGCCTATGTTTATCCTTGCACATATAAGAAAAATGGGAAGATTAATAAAGTCCACTACAGATCTTCATGGACGGAATGCTTAAGACTTATTCAAAATGTTGGCCAACATTGGTACGATCAACCAAGACTGCATCCAGAATTATTAAAAATGATTGGCGATCCATAGGAATACTTTCTCAAAACTTTTTCCAACCTTCTCGTTCGGGGCATGCCGCTGCCAGGTCGAATGATGAGTGGAAAAGCAAACCAGAATTTAAGAACTTTTTCATTTTTAATTAAATCAACACGAGTCAATGATTATTTCATGCACATTTCTTTCGCCATTATTTTCTGTTTTTCTTTTAAAAGTGGAAATGAAATAAAATTTGTGCTTTTTAGATTATATTTTCATTCAAAATAATTTTCAAAAATACAGTCCATATTCTAAAACAAATACTTCATATCGCTTTTCATTTTAACGATATCGAAGTTTATGTAATTTCCGCTTTCCAAACTGGTGATGTCACATAGCTTTACGAGAATTTGAAGTAGCAGGTATAATTGTTAATATTTTACATCAACTTAGAAGAGTTCCTTTTATTGTGATTAGTTAATAGTATTAAAAACTGTTTTAAAAAGTAGCTACACCGCCATTTTAAAAATACTGTTGAATGAAAAAATGAAAATATAATTTAAATAGTGAAATTTTCATGTCAAATGGACTTTCAATGGCATTTGTAAAAACCTTCAACAATAATATTCATATGAAAGAATGTTTTATGCAATGGTGTTTGAAATTAAATGAAGATATGATATTCGCACTTTGCTGGATCGCACTTTATTGTCCAGCAAAGTGCAAAGATCATATTTTCATTTAATTTCAAACACCGCAATGCATAAAACATTCTTTCATATGACATTCCTTTCACAAGAAAACATGAGCCCGACAAAATTGACCTGCTCGCCACTGTGCGACTTCATAGCTCAGTTGGTCACAGCACTGCACCGACACCGCAGAGGTAATGGGTTTGAATCCCGTTGAGACACCTGAATTTTTCAGGTTCATGAGACAATTGCTTAAATTGTCCAGCAAAATGCGAAGATCATATCATGATTTAATAATATTCATGTTAACGTTAATTTAATACATACGATTTAAAATAGTTCGCAAGATTTTAAGCTGAAGGAATGCTTATGGCTTTATCGATATGTTGGCCAACATTGGTGCAATCAACTAAGACTGCAACCAGAAATATTGAAAAAGATTGTCGATCAAAGAAGTATTTTTTCAAAACTTTTACGAATCTTCCTGTTTGAGTGCATGCGGCTGTCAGGTCAAACGATGAATGGAAAAACAAACCAGAACTTAAGAATTTTTCGTTTTCAATTAAGTTGACACGAGTCAATGAACATTTAATAGACATTTCATTCGCCGATTTATTTGTGTTTTTCTTTTTTAAAGCCATTATATTAAAACCTTCGCAGCTGAAGCCAAGCTCCTTGAAACTTTGTTAGCTTAAACAACATGCGTCATGTTTAAACCCATGTTCTACAATTTCTTTTTTGGCTGTGTCATTTTCTTGCTGACGCTATTTCAAAAGAGCTTCTTGGCAACACATAATTCCCAAAACAAAATGGATATAATTTGCAACAATTTTAGCTACTGTCAAATAAACTATCGGAAGTATAACTCCTACTCACTATTCAAACCAATTTTTTTACAAATCTCGAGCGTTGATGAATTATGCAACTTTTTTTAACTGTCCAGTTGTTTTTTATATATATCCTGTATAAATGTGTGAAGAATGTTGAAAATGACATTTGTCGTCATTTTTGGTTTTGATTTTACTCAACCTAGCCAATTTCATTGGAACAGAATTACACAGATGTGCACCTTAGTACAAACAGCTATTTGTCATGTAATTTGTTTGGCGAAATGGCAAAGAAAGACAGTTGATGTTAAAAATATTTTAAAGACCGCGACTTACACTTTAGCTTTTGAGTGAAATGATCTTTAAACGTTTCAAGACCATTTTCATCCCGAAATTTGTTCATTCATTTTGCTTTTACTTTCTCTCTTCTTTCTCCAAGTGGTTCCAAGCCAAATGTTTGAATCGTACTAGAACGTTCTGCATCGTTACTTAAGTTCAACATAATTCTAACAGCTCGCTATGAAGTTTTTCAAGTCGCTCTTTTTGTGTTTTAACTACGTAGACTGTTTCACACCAAACCTCACATCAATAGTCAAAGTGTAGAAACAAGCATATTATTTT